TTTGGGCTGACGTTTCCAATGCATTTTTACATAGCTTTGCTTTCCCAAAAGTTGTTCTCATCCAGGCACCAGTGGACTGCAGTTTTGACCTCGCATTGGCCTTATCAACACCCTCAGCGGGAGTCGAACCGGGACAGTGCAGGACCGTAACTTGACACACTACGAGTGGAATCAAACTACGAGTCTTTACATCATCAACTCAGTATGAAATGAAGATCGCCACAATAACGCCATCTCAGGAGGTTGATCGAAGCTCGCTTTTCCTTCGTTCAAATGTGTTCTATTCTATATGAAGATCTGCCGATTATTTCGGTAGAACACTTTATTTCTCGTTCATATGAAGAGTTTCGAAACGGCCAGTGAATCAGCTATATGAGATGTGTTCAGCCTATTTCCTTTAAGGTGATGAAGTATTAATAGATTAATGCTATTAGTAGAGCTGACGTTTCAAATGAATTTCGCATAGTTTTGCTTTCCCAAAAGGTATGCTCATCCAGGGTCGACTGCAGCTTCGAGCTCGCCGAGGTCTTATCCCTACCCTTAGTGGAAGTCGAATTATAGCAGTGAAGAGTGTAGGCTCAGCACATCAACCCTTACGCCACATTTCCACGAGTGCCCTAGGGTCACAGGGCAGATGCGAATTTCGATGACCGCCATGCATTTTTCCATATCATATTCTTTGGTGGGATAGTCGATGAAACAAAGTTATATTTTTTTAATGACATTTGACTACATTACTTATTTTTTGCTCATAAGTAGGGTTTTGGGACCACCAGTAAACCAGTTCCATGAGATGTATTCAGCCTATTTCGTTAAAAGTGAGGAAAGATTTTATTTTTCATACAACCTGGACAAGCCCACCCTCGTTTTTCAAGTCCCACTCTTCAGAGGTCTATTGAAACGCGTCTTATAGATAAGACGAAATCACGAAATAATTAATGTTTCTACCTTCCTCTTTACCAGCCCTTGGCATCGAAGACGTGGATAGGCTATTGTCTTCCGGCACCAGCCTTTACAACGAAGACGTCCATCTCGACCTCGGCAGCTATTCGTCGCCGGCGGCTTCGCTATCCGACGAGGCTGACAGCAGTTCATTCCCCTCGTCACCCTTTCACACGACCCATTTTACCTGCGAGCCTGCCACCGGCTTGACAACAGGATCGTCGGCCAAAGAGGCTGAGCAGGGAGAGCAGGAAGAGGAGCAAGAGGGAGAGGAAGAGGGAGAGGAAGAGGAGGCAAAGGATGAAAAGAGGCTCTTTCAGGTGGAGCAAACAAAGGTTCCCATTCCAGTTGGCCACCTGAAGAGTCTGCAGCCGACTCAGGCAAGCCGGAGTGATGCCGTACGGACAGCGGAGGAGCAGCAGAGAGAGGGTCGCTTCACAAATCACGATAGGCCGACGAAGCCCGACTCTGTTGCGCTAGACGCCCAGGACTCGGAGGACACCCTGACCGGATCTGAGGCGGAAAAGTGTCAACGTGAAGAACAAGAACGCCAGATCCGTTTGCGAAGTCGTCGGCTGCAGCTGCGTCGGCGGACCAAGCATCGCAAAGTGAGCCGAATTCGCGGGTTTCGTGAGCCCCCCATTTCGGCGTGCATCGCCTCGTCCTCGCGACCGGGAGTCGGACTCGCCTCGTCCGCATCGTCGGATCCCGACACCTCCGACTCGGAAGAGGCCGGCGATCTCGACGAGGAAGAGGCCAGCTCAAGCAGTGACGATCAAGCCTCCGACTCTGACTCGCTCTACAGCCCGTTCGTGACGTGTCAGGTGACGGGCCGCCGGGCCGTGGCCGACGCCAGTTGGCGCCGCCGACTGCCGACGACCCGGACTCGTCTTCAACTGGTGCTCGAGCCGTTCTCAGAGGTCTCGCCGCCGACTCCAACCCCGTCGACGGGCTCGAGCCAAGCTCAGACGGTTCAGCGCGCCAAGCCGGTCAACGACCTGCAACCATGGTGGCCACGCAGTCTGCCCGCTTTCCCGCAGGCCGCGCCGGGCCGGGACGATGCCTCCGAGGCCGAGATTGACGCGGGTCTCGAGCTCGACACCATCGCCTCGTCGTCCGAGGAGGCCGGCGCCTCGAGAAAACCCGGCACCGGTACGCCGTCAAGAGACGAGCTGGCCGAGTCCGGCGACGTAGGATCCGCTGGGGCAGGCGATCGACGCTTCAGAATCGGTGCCGCGATGCCGGGCGACTTGAGCCAATTGGCAACCGCGGAGTCAACTAGTCAGCTCGGTTGTCAATGGCACCGGCGTCGAAGGCGGCAGCGCAAACAGCTCGAATTGTGGCAGTTCATCCTGCATCGGCTGGACACAGCGTCGGCATTTTCAGCCTTCCAGTGGGTCAACAGGACAGCCGGAGTCTTCCGGATCACAGATACCCGAGCGGCCGCCTACGAATGGGGCAAGTATCGGGCCAATTCAAGGATGGACTACGAAAAAATGGCCAGAGCCATGAGGTAATCCGTGACATGATAAACATAAAACCATTTCATACTTCCATTATTTCATCGAACTCTTAATGTTTTCTATTTGAAAGTAGGTTTTCAAGACTACCAGTGGATCAGTTATATGAAATGTGTTCACTCCATTTCGTTTGAGGTGAGCAAGGACTGATGGTTGAATTTTCCCAGTGAATAAGAATAGAC